GCGATCACATGTCCTGCACACACTTCTCATAGCTCCTCTGTGCTTTGCACCTGAACAGAGCAGACGCTGTAAAAACTGGGATTGAAAAGAACGGCGGTGAACTGCGCAGCAGAGCGAACCTCATCTAGTGTAACTTTGGGCTAAGTATTAAATCTACCAGGACACTCCAGGTTAACAAAGTTAAATGAAGAACACTTGTTTTAAACAGTGATATGATTTCACCCCTTTGCTTCAGAATGAACATAATTAGTTTTGCCAATACAGCACATTTGCAGAACGTGGGCGATGCTGCGGTAAGACGAGACTTTTTGTTCATTAAGGACAACATCATGTCTGAAGCAAATCTAACACCTCATTATGCTGAGAACACCATCATTACAGTGAGGCACGGTGGTGACAGCATCATGCTGTGGTGATGTTTTGGACAAACACGTCCAGCTGCTAGATGTAGCAAGCTCCTGGAAACCAACCTGAAGCAACCGGCTGCTGTAGGATCTGATCTGTATGTGAACATATTTGAGTCGACATGTATATGCAGATATGTTTGATACATTAAGTATGAAGCAGGTGTGGTACTGACCTCATTGAAGTCCAGAGAGGAATCATTACACAGAGCACAAATGGTGGCCAGTTCAACCAAAGCATCATACTGGGAGCATTTCACTGGTTTACCATCATGGTACCTGTGAGAAGGTATCAAAATATCACGCTTCACGTGACAGCAGAGCCACTATTTATTTCTGACTAAACTAAACGTGTCTGAGTTTTAACTTTCAATTGAATTTGCTCGTTAAAGAGAAGCTGAAAGAGTACTCACACTTCTCCCTCAGGTGCGTAGGTAGAACCTGTGATGGTGAATTCTGACAGAGAGCAGCTTTCACCTTCGGCTTTGTTGAGAACAAACATCTGAAAATCAAAAAGAGGCCACAGGACAGAGGTGAGGCATGATGTTTGTTTAAAAACACACATCGGTTCATTTAGTTGGTGACCAAGCTGACTGTCAGGTTC